TGGAATCCCGGGACTCCGCTCGGACGCGAGCACGGAACGAGCAAAATCGCGGCTTAAATCGGCAACACGCGCGGTTAGATTATTCCCGGGACCGGTCAGACCCACGATACAAACGATCGCCGCCCCTATTGTGTGTATCGGGACACTGTACGCCTCTAAGTCAGAGCCGTTGCCTCTCTCGATAGAGCTGGAAATACCGGACGGGGTAACCGATATCGCCTCTCGATCCGCAAGGAGGAGGACCTGGATTCCTGTCAGGAGACTGGTTCCTCCGAGAGGAATGCCGAGAGACATTGTTGTCGCGTGGAAACGCGCAAATTTCTGTCGTTATAAGGGAATTTGATTTTGGCCGGAGAGGGAGGGAGAAATTTTAATCCACTTTGGAATCTCGAATTTCGAAGAGAAATTAGATTCGGAGAGTATTTATATATATGATGTATATATATATATTTATACGTGATATTAAAAAGGGTTCCTGGTTTTCGACGAGTACGAGGAATAATCGTAAAATCGTAATGGAATTCAAAATGGCTGTGCAGCAATTTTCCATGGATGCACATGGTTTCATGGTTCATTTCTTGGAAAAATTCATGACAGCCTACCGATCGGCGTCACCCGAATTGATTACGTTTTAACAAAATTAATTAAAATCCATTCCAAAAAAAGTAGTTGAATATATCTCAGAATTCTGTGTTTCGAAAGTATACACCTAAATGGGAAAAAAGTAAACGTAGCGAGATTGTAAATCCTCGAGCTAAGAATAAATAGGATTATGTTAATATAATCTAACGAAATCTCTATTTAGATTGAATTAAAAACCTCATGAAACGAAGATTACGAGGATTAACATTGCAATATATACTTAAAAATTCAAATCTCAGCCTCTTAACGTTAAATTAATTATTCGAAACGAAGAGGAGAAGGAAATTTCGTCAGTGGAATCCCCTTTTCCAGGATTCCACTCAACGGTGGAGAGTGGAGCGAATGATTTACCGCGGAATAAATTCAGCCGGGCGAAAAAAGAAGGAGCGTCGGGTCTAATTAAGATTCGAGCGAGTGTCCCGAAAACGAATCGTGCATTTGTTACGCGAAAGACGAGCGCGAGTTTCGTGGAAACAAATTAGCATCCCGTTCGGTCTAATTATTCCGCGCTTTGAGGAAGTAGCGGCGCGAAAAGCCGCGGGCCGTAATTTCTATTTTCGCGCTTTCGTTCCGGCGCGAGGGTAACGGGATGAAGAATGAGGCCAATTAACCACTATATCATTAGCGGCGACACCATCGTGGCCGAATTGCCTTTCCTTACCGGAGTAAATCATCTCTGGATTTTGCTCGAAATACAACATATTAGTACGTTTACTAATAGTTTGTCCAGCGAGCGAATATTTCCGTGACACGTTGTAGATTTGCATACATCGAGATACGAATTGTATTTTACCAACTATATATATGTACATACTTAATTTTTTATTAATTCTATGATATTCTAATCCTTACGAATTTTATCAAGATCGTGTAATTCTTTGTACGTTCTTTGGCATAAAAAAGAAAAGAAGAATTTCATTGGATACGAGGTGAAAGAAAAACAGAAAGAGGTATGACGCGTAAAATTTTAAATACGATATATGAAGAGAAGATAGTTGATAGTTGCATACGCAAGCATCCGAGATGCGATCAGCAGCACCCCGTCGCGAGATTGGTGAAGCTTCCAGGTTGGCCCATTAAGGGAGCAATGACTAAGGTAGAGAGATCACGATTCGTCTAAAAGCGTTATTCGTCCGAATTAATATTCGAGTCTCGATATCTCTCATCCCGTCTTATTATTATTACGATATTAAACGCGGTTCGAGGCGCACGCGTTCTCGCCGTTAACGTTAAGCGGCGGCCAAGAAAAATCGACCAACCCGATCTGGGGAATAATTCATCTGTCAGTACTCCAAAACGAGTTACAAGAGGGTGCAGGTGCGCGCCTATTAAACGCCGGTGACGAAAACGAATGACGCGAATAAATCTATTCGTAAATAATTCAACACGACGTGGAGGAAGGAGGTTCCAAGAGAGCTCCTTTCAAATCGCGCGCCATTATTGTCGCTTTCAACCCGATCACCTCTGAACCCCCGTGACTATCAACGATCCGCCACGAGCGAGCTTCGTTCCAACTTTGTCGCATCAATCGAGTTTTAATATTTTACCCGGTTTAATCGAGATTAAATCGAAAGAACGTTTCGATGGCGATTGCAACTAAAGAGAAAAGATAATCCCTGGTCACGAACAACTAGCTAATCACGCTGAATTTAACTAGAGATAGAAATCCATCGATGACGAACTAAAGTTATATATAAATTCAATCGTACGTCAATCTGGATTCGTATAAATCGTATCGAAATTGACGCCCCAGATCAATAATCGCTGTCCCACGATCCATAAGAGCCATAAAAATCGAGCAATCATCGAGTACGGTTCCCGAGGGAGCCCGAGAACGGGTGCAAGAACGGGTCGCGGGTCGAACGCGTCCACGTAGCGCTTAGCCAGGTACCATATCGCAAACGAATCGTGCAGCGCGATCGACGTCGAAGAAGAAGAACAGGTGGCGGCCGTTACCTCCCCTGTTTCCGG